TTTTTAATGATCTGAAACATTTAAGAGACATGAAAGCCAAATCAAAAGGAATATGAAAAGGGATAAATTATTTTTAAATGATATGGTTCCAACTGAAGAAGAAACCATGATGAGTTTAAGGTGAGGTGGTAAAACCTGCATCATTGAGTACAACTCAAACCCATATGAATGACGTCGCAGCCCAAGGCTACACCATGTAGAGAATTGTTTTTGTGCTTCATACTGAACACATAGTAAGAGAACTGAAAGGATTATTTAGCATTTTGCTAACTGAACATAAACTCTGTTCTGAATCAGTGTCTGCAGCAGAGGACATACCTTTGAGATACTTCTGGCCGTTAATGCAGTGAGGGGAGCTGAGTGGACGGACGTGGAAGCTGTGCGATGCTGCTTTATTCTAAAACACAAGAAAACAGGTTTCAGCAAAGATGGGAATGTTTCCATCCTTCTCTGACGGTCCGTGTACTTTCAGGCAGTTAATTTTTTCATTTGAAATGAAAAATGAAAAAAACAAAAATAGACTCTTTTTTTCTTTATTAAACCAAAATGAGAAATTGGATAACGGATTGGGATTGACCCGACAAGTGATCCGGTTTCTCATTTTGGTTTAATAAAAAAATAAAAAAACAAACTGCATGAAAATACATGGACCTCTGAAGCTTCCATTTGGCTTTTTGCACTGTATCAGATCAGACTTTTAAATTTTAAACACTTAAAAAAATTATTTCAACAAAGTTCCAATGCTCAGCAAATTTACATACAAAATTCAAAACCTTTGTTTCATTCAGACTATGTGCAAAGACAACATATAAAATGGAGAAACTGAAAAAAAAAGATGACAAGCCTATAAGTGGAACATTTAATACAGAAAAAAAATCTGCACCGATTCCGATTTTGACCGATAATGAATCTCGTCAGAAAACTTAAATTTATCAACAAAGTAGCTGAGTTACAGATGTGACCTGGTGGGCGGCTCTGTCAGTCAGCATCTCTCTCAATACAAGCAGACGGGGACAGTGGCTATGTTTTTAGAATTTCAGAGGTAAATAACATCAGATTCTCACGTACAGATTGGCTGATCTGCACGTGAGAGCATACATTTACAAAAATATGCTATGAACACATGTTGAAAGAACAGGGCTCACAAAATCCAAGGAAATAAAAGGTTAAGTAAGAATAAAGTCACCAGACTGAAGACCAAGCACAACTAGGGATGCACAATATATCGGCAGAAATATCGGTATTAGTCATCTTTTAACACAGCAGTATTGGTTATTAATCAAGACCACTTGAAAAATGAGAATGTCAAACTGTTTAAAAGGAAGTGTGAAGAAATGGCCTGTGCTGGTGGGTAAATCAGTCAAGCTGTGTGCAGCAGATGCATTATCAGCTACTGCTCTCACATGTTGACATACCTGAGTTTCACAGTGTAATGGCAACCTGCAGTTTAGAGGCACCCAGGAAACAGCCAGCTGGCCTTTGATTGCAGCAGCAATGGCTCTATGGAGGACAGCCGATTTACCTGCAGTCAGACAGAAGAACCACTGTGATGGAGTTATGAATACATGCCGTTGTAAAGGCAGGTAAACAAAGAGGAGATTTTAAGCTAGTAGTATTTGTCTGTTTTTTTACTCCCTGTCAAAAAACTATGACTTTCAATTCTTTCTCATTCATTTTATAATCAGAAATAATCGGATATTAAGAAGAACTGGTGTAAAATGCGTAGATGAGAATATATTTTCTAACACCATTGTGTGATGCTTAAATGTAATTTTTTCTACCCTGGATGACATTCTTTTGCCATTCTGGTTCAAACTGTGGAGCCAAGTTGGCCTCATATAATTGTAAAAAAAAATAAAAATAAAAACAGAAAACAAGGTCCAAAATTACAGTTCAGATTCAAGGGATTTGTTGTGTCGTGTGTTTACATATGCAGTAAAGCATGTTATTTTTCAAAAATCAATCATACCAACAGATCGATGAGGATGTTCTCAGTGGACGGAAATATGACATTGACAAATCTGAGCAGTATTTTAAGACAGAATGTGGCTGATTCAACTCTCCGGTCATCTGAAGCCCCGCCCCCATGCCAAACAAGGCCAGAAGTTTGAAACTGGAAAAAAACATTCAATCTAAAAAATAGCCGTGGACTCTGTTGAAGTTTCAAATTGGCCTTGACTGAAGTAATGCGCCAGTTCAACGCTATGAAGCTTAAGAGAAATTCCCTGCACATTCCTGTTTCCATGGGAGCGCGAGCAAAATATTGCACACAGCCTGTGAATCCATTGTGTACAGAACATTAATATTCAAACAAACCATTCTCAGTTTGTCATTATGAAGCGTGGTCTGTATTTTAATAAAATATGTCAAAATGACAAACTGTAACTAAGTGATAGTCGATACTTGTCATATTTTTTCTCAAATAAAAAGGAACAAAAATATTCACACATTTCACAGCTTCCATTTTTGTTCCTTTTGCTTTAACGCCCCAGGAGAACAGAAGAGCTACACGGCCTGTACTTTTGTAATATTAGACTTCTTATGGATGACAGCTTTGTTTTTGTTTTTTTGTTGTTTTTAAATCGTTAGCCGTCTAGCTGTACCTGTGGGCTGGTCCGAGGCCTCAGAGCTCTCCCTGGGCATTTTCTCCACCAGATACATGAGTAGCGAGCGAATCTCTGGCTCGTTACTGTATAGAAAAGTCTGGTAGCCAATCTCTCCTTTATAGCCGACGTCCTGGAAACAACACAGGTATACAGCATAGTATAATGTACAATAGGAAGAAAATATGCAACATGTGAGAATGTTAGTGAACTTTGTAATATGACTTGCATTCTGTGCAAAAGCACTGGTTGAGAAAAAGAGACCTTGAGTTCAAAAAACAAGTTTCATATATGGACTCCAAATGCATTAGCAGACATATAGACACTGTGACCTGAACATGCCCATATCAGGAAGACAGGCAATAATGATAATGTTAACTTTGAGGAGATACTCTATAAACGGGGTGCTGATTTCACTATGAATGGGCCAAGATTTCCTTGCATGCTGACATAATCTGCAGTACTGTAACCAACCAAAGCCTGTAGCATGCAGAGTCTTTTTCCAGCAACATCACCACACCAGCATCAATTAAGAGAAGACCAACCAGAAGACACCATGTAATCAACATCAAAAATACCATATTAGCAACTACATTAGAACCTGCTGTGCAGCTGGAAGGAGTTTGTTTTCTTTTACTGTGGAATATTGTCTCTGCTGGCCAGATCTTGATCTGTTAGCATGTAATGACACTCATCCGTCACAAAGTGTGATTTATCCACGTGTCCCTCTAGAAACAACTTGCTGGGGAACCCTAGATATGATGTGTGGGCGGATCAGGGGGTCTTACCTGGCAGGCCTGGGCCAGGATCATGCCCACCCTGAAGCGGGCAGACATGCCCGGAGGCAGGGAGGTGGGCAGCCCTTCCCCCAGGGTCGGATCAATCACCCGGATGCATCTGACCACCGCCTCCACGATCAACTCACTGGTGAACTGGTTCACCCTGTCGACGTCCTCACCCACCTCCCTGTGGGACACAAACCATACAGAACCTGCCTGAGAGCTGTCAACAACTCTGACCTGCAGAAACACGCTGAAGACACTTACGTTCCGACTTGTCTGAGAGTGTGAATCAGGATTTTATCAACTTCCTCCATCGCTAAGCTTTCTCAGGAAATATTCCAACCGAGTAGCAGGAATCTAGCAAAACAGCGCGACTAAAGACAGATGCTTTATTAACATGGGTTAGCTTCCATCGACTGCTAGCAACACACTAGCTCCTATTTACCAACTACGGCATTCCTCGCTTCCATTTTCCCTATTAGCTTAGCTAAAGGACTGTACATAAACAAAATATTCTAAAACAGTCCAAAACCCTTCCACAATCACGTCCAACCCGATGCAACCGGCTCTAACAGAGCTCAGAGCTGGGAGTTTTTGTTCAGAGTGGAAGTAATCGTCGACAGGAACAGAAGGGCTTTCTGGGAAGCGGAGTTTTCAATGAGTCTGTATCAGCTGGGAATCAAGAAGACGTTCACAACGTTGAAATACATATCCCAGCATGCACCACTGCAGAGAGTCTTGTGACCTGATGCTGTGTTCGTTGACAGCTGATGGAATCAAAATCGGCTTTATTGGCTAAGAGCGTGTTTACAAACAAGGAATTTCAGTTCTGTTTAATGTCCAGGCATTAAATATAAATATAAAAACTTTAGATTAAATAAAATTAATTATAAAAGAAATAGTATGTACAACTATTTTTGTATTACATACAGAAACAAGGCAGGTTGTGACAGTTGTTCCAATATGTTTATGTAGGTTAATAAATAACCTACAATGTTATGTAACTTACATAACATTACAGCCTTACCAATGAGGCTGTGAGAGGTTCACTGTGTTCATTAAAGAGACATTCTGTCTCTGTAGCACCGACCAAAAGGTAACATTTCTAAAAGTTTGTGTCCAGGGTGTGTGGGGTCTGAGGAGATGTCAGCTGCCCTTTTCCTGACCCTTGACCTGTACAAGAACTGAATGGGGAGAAGGTCAGCCCTGATGATCCTTTCTGCAATGCTGATTGTTGCACTCTGGACCGGTTCTGTGCTGTTGATGAACCAAATCACCAAGTCTTCTTCTGAACAGTGTCTATGTCACACAATGTTGAAGATGGTGAGGGGTGGGCTGGGGGGATTTTCTGTTGGTCCAGTAAACCAGCAGATCCACCTCTCATCTCTATGCAGACTCATCACTGTCCAAGGTCAGACCAATAACAGTGGTGCCATCTGCAAACTTCAGGACCTTCACATGGGTCACTGAGGTCCTATCATCCGAGTATAGAGAGAAGAAGAGTTGGGGATCCTGGGGGTTTTGGTGCTGGTTGTTCTTAAGGGTGAAAAGAAAAAGTTAAAAGAAAGCATGAAAGAAGGAAAGATAAAGACAGAAAAATGGAAGAGAAGAAAAAGAAAGAAATCGATGACATAACCACCTGAACCAGCAGATGGCGGTGTTGCAAACGAAAACTTCCCGTAAAAAAATCGAAGCAGAAGGAACTGACGGACTATAGGAGCTCGGTTGGAATTAGCATCACCATCATGTCTCGGTGACCGAGGCCGTATAACAGGGACAGCATCCTGAGAGGGGCCTTACTGTTCCTAAACGGAATCCTTAAGATGGCAGGCGAGGAGGAGAGGGGAGTGGTTCGAGTTAAAGTCAAGGTAGGCTGCGAACGGCGGTGGTTGCTGGCGGCTAGCTGCGCCGTTAACCCGGTTCTCGTTGTGTTTACGTCTTTGTCAGAGCAGCTGACCCCACAGCAGGTTATCCTGGACACAGTAGTTTCTGCGGGGCTGAGAAAATGAGCTCAGAACTAAACACTGTCTATGTCTGTGCTGTCTGTTTCTCGCCGGCTTTGTTTACTGTCGCGGATTGTCAGGCATAAGGTCCACAAAGCTCCTGCCTCTTTCCTCTTATTAGCTGCTTTTATAGATTATGTCGACAGGTCACAGCTGAAGCTTTAACGCTGTTTATCAGGGATCAATAAACAACTCTCTTAGCCAAACACTGAACCTGGGGACTGACGTCACCTCTTCAGTCAGAAACCGCGTGCGCGCGCGCGCACAGTTAATTGTGTGACGTGATTTCTCCGCCAACCCCCGGAGAAGAGGCGTGTTGTAGTGATGCTGCTTTAATACTGGCTGCAGAAATCAAGGAGAAATTGTTACAACCCGGAGCTCGAACCAAGAGGCACTTCTGTAAAACGATGAGGATATTTTATAAGATTTATTCAGATTCTTAAATCAGTGAGGGTGAGGTCCTCGTTCAACCCTCTTCGTTTTTCTTTCTTTATTTACAAGCTGCCAAACTTCTGTGTCCTTTTCAAAATGGCTTTGGCCAATAGCTTCCCAGTGTTTCTGAAGGTCTGTGGTACAGATGGCCTTTGGATTTTGGATGTAATTTTTATAGACCAATAAGATTTTAGCAATTGCCATGAGATATAAATCTTAGTAGGATGGTGTAGCATACCACTATGGATGACTGATCCTGTCAAAATTGGTAGTAAAACTGGAAATAAATAGATGCTTCATAAAGTAACTAATGTGGCATAAGAAGTAGTTTTTAGCTGCAAATGTGTACTTTGCTACAAATGTATGCATTTGTAGCAAAGTACGCACAACATTTGCTACAGTTATTTATTTGTGGCAAATGGTTAACTGTTATTGCATTTAGGCAATAAAATGTTTATTTAAAAAATAATGTAATTATTTATTTGCATCTTTTAATGTATTTCTAATATTGCATGAAAAAGGCTTAAGTGCTTAAATGAGTAATTTGCAGAATGTGCCAAGTTATTTAATCAGTTTATTTGCATAGCACATTTCAGCAACAATGCAATTCAAAGCACAAAAATTAAAATTCATTTTAAAAAAACAACATATAGTCAACAATTAAGAAACCAATAACAAACGTTACATGTTAAGTATCATCATAAAAATCATCAGTACACTTATAAAATGTTGGCCAATGTTCCATTTATTATGGTTCTAAAACATCTGTAATCAGGTTTTTAGTCTTGATTTTTATCAGATTAATCACCAAAATTAGGGGTGCACTGATTTATCGACCAGCTGATTTATCAGCACAGGTCTCAATCAATCAAATTTTATTTGCATAGCACATTTCAGCAGCAAGGCATTTCAAAGTGCTTTACATAATTAAAAACAGAAACACAGAGTCATGTAACATTGAATAAACAGTAAGAAAGAGAAAGAGATAAAAAAAATAATAATAAACAAAAGTTAATAGGTAATAATTTCCTTAATTTTTGAAGACTGGTGACCGACCAATACTTGCATCTGAAGCCAATCTTATCCTCTGGTCTTATCTACATCAGCAAAGGTCTAAAAATCAACCTCTGTCCTCTTCTGCTCTCCTACGAGAGAGGTTTGACTGACAGACCGGCCCAGCAGGTCATTCTGCATGTTTGCAGTTAACAATAGTCACCCAACTATTGCAAACAGAGTGACTATTTTTGCTATATTTAGCAATATTTCAGACAAGAAAAATTGTTATTGGGGTATTGACAAAAATCGGAATCGGCAGGCCATGCTTTTTAAAGACTGGTAATCTGCGATTGGCCAATCGGTGCACCCCTAGTCAGAATAATTGATTACTAAAACATTTTAATGATCGACTACTAAAATAACCTAAAAAATAAATTCTATCTGTGCATAAAAACATGTTTCACCTGAGTGATTGGCACAGTAATGAAGCTGGTGAATACTTGCCAGTTGAGTGGTAATAAAGTCACCTCCTTTCAGATCAAATGATGTTTTATACTATATTGATTAAAATTTATTGCCATGTTTTTTGCATATGTTGGACAAATAAACCTTTGTTGAATTGACACTTTAGAAATTGTGTTGGGATTTCTTCTAGAAATGCGATGGGGCACTTCCTGTGGAGTCTCGCTCCTTTGCTGTTGATCCTCAGATAACGTCACTGGAGGTCCTGCAGCATATCCTCATCAGAGCCTTCGACTTCAATGGGTAAGAAGCATCAGGTTGAGTAGATCTACTCTCAAGAGTTGACTTGAACGGGTTCCACTAAATGCATCTTTTGTTTGTTATCTGATTGGAAAAAAACAAACAAACTAGGAAGCGGAATTTCAGTGTAAGCTACCTGTCTCGAGATCGAAGCAGCGTGGAGATGTACCTGTCTCTCCTGTCTGACTGGGATCTGGACGTTGCATTTATGAGTGCAGCCAAGCCGTTCCTGCAGCTCAAAATGGATGTGAAGCCTTCTGAGGACAGTAAGAACAGCAGTTCAGTTTTAAAGCAAACCATGCCATAAAGACAGTGAGCCGTACTGTAATATTTACTCGGCGTAAAATAAGTGTAGTGAGTCTCATCTGTTTTTTGCCGGGCTTCAGGTCCAGTAATGGAAGACTGGGACATCATAAGCCCAAAAGATGTGATTGGTTCAGAGCTGCTGCTTGGAGAAAGGACCAAGTCTTTGGCTTCTGCAGCACTTCCCTTCACTCAATCTCTGCTGTCTCAGGTATGTTCATCTTGTTTCAGATTTTTTTTGTATTCAGTATTTTCTAGGGTGCACCAATAAATCTGCCTCAATTTCCTTAATTTTGGTTGATTAATGATCTGATTTTCAGACCACAAAAGGTATCAATCAACCATGAGTGAGGGCATGGCTGACATACTGACCCATCAACCAAGTCATGTCTGCGTGAGGCTGAGTAAAATCAATAGTCACATCTCTGTTGCTAATTTACTGACTTTTCAGCAAAAAAAATTAGTATCGGCCAAAAATGCCTAGATGATTGACTAGAAAATGGTAAATGGCTTTAGACTTCTATAAAGCCTACCCAAGTCACTACAGTCATTTACCCATTCATACACACACCCTCACACCAATGGTGGTAAACTACTGGATAGTAGCCACAGCTTCCCTGTGTTTGTTATGGACAATCCACGATGGGCACAGAAGTCCAACAACAGAACACAGAACCACTCAGGTTCAGTTCAGGGGGGGCATTCCTCCCGACCACGCCCCTCCAGCCTTTACCTTCATTGCCCATGTGAGTGTTGAAATCCCCCAGCAGAACAAGGGAGTCCCCAGCAGGCGCACTCTCCGGTACCCCCTCCAAGGACTTCAAGAAGGTTGGGTAATTTGAACTGTTGTTCGGCGTGTAAGCACAAACAACAGTCAGAACTTGTCCCTCCACTCGCAGGAGGAGGGAGGCTACCCTCTCACTCATTGGGGTGGAAGAGGGGGTGTGCAGACACCAAGATGGGGGGCAACAAGTATGCCCACTCCTGCCTGGTGCATCTCACCATGGGCAACTCCAGAGTGGAAGAATGTCCAATCCCTCTCGAGGAGACTGGTTCCAGAATCAAACTCATGCATTGAGGTGAGACCAACTATTTCTAGTCAGAACCTCTCAACCTCGCATGTTAACTCAGACTCCTTCCCCACCAGAGAGGTGACATTCCACGTCCCAAGAGCCAGCTTCTGTAGCCCTTCTCGCCCTTGGCCACCACCCATCCCACACTGTATTCAACCCCTTTGGCCCCTCCCACAGGTGAAGAGTCCATGGGAGGGGGGACCCACGTTTTCTCTTTGGGCTGAGTCCAGCCGGGCTCCATGGGTTGAAGCCCAGCCACCAGGCACTCGGCAACGTGCCCCACCTCCAGGCCTGGCTCCAGAGTGCGGCCCCGTCCAGGAGAGGGAACACTGTCTCCAACGATTGTGTGCATCACAAGGGGTCTTTGGGCTGCACTTTGTCTGGCTCCTCACCTAGCACCTGTCTGCCTCGGGTGGTCCTACCAGAGCCATAAAGCCTGTGACAGCATAGCTCCTAGGATCACTAGGATCTAATCCAATCCAAAAAACACTGACTTTATTTTCAAGAAGTGATCAAGTTAGAATAGTTCTTTGTTGAATCCAAGTGTTTGTTTCCTCGGTTGTGTTCAGGTGGGACGGACCCTGTCCCGAGTCCAGCAGGCCTTCACCTGGTCTTATGGAGAGGAGATCAAGCCTTTCAAACCTCCACTTAGTGATTCAGAGTTTCACAGCTACCTTAACGGACAGGGCCAGCTGACTCGGCCCGAAGAACTCCGACTGCGGATCTACCACGGTGGCGTGGAACCGTCGCTGCGAAAGGTTTCCACTTTGCATTGCCTTGTTGCTGAAAATGTGCTAAATTAATAAAATTACCTTTACCTTTCTCCACACTCTTTACTAACAGTCTTAAATTTAAGTTGCCTTTATGCGTTTTTCTTGCTATTAACCTTTTCTTTCTTTGGAGTTAACCTTCTACGGTAGCTCTGTTGTTCTATTACTATAGATACGTTATACAGAATGAGCGTTAATTCTACTACTTTGGATGTTTATGGCTTCCAGCTACTTGACTGGAAGCATAAATTTGAATGTAACATCAGACCAATATGTAGTTCAGAAATGTGGGCCAACTGGAAATGTATATAATTTACTGTACATTATATAAACTCAATACTTGGTCGGATCTCCATTCGGCTTTCATTACACTCTTTAAGCCACCAGCTTCATTAGTAATGACCATTTGTGGCTTAACTTCATTGAGGATGACATCACCGATGTCAGTCGACAGTATTCCTCGTGATTGTGTCGGCCATAATGTGGTCATGAAATACTACTTCTGAACTAATTATGTATGTTGGTCTATTGTGGAGGAATTCTGGACCAGTCTTCTTTGCAGAATTGATTTACACATTGTGGCACCGCATAGTCTAGTGGTAAAGCAAGTGCACTAAATATAGAGACTGTGGCCATGATTTTACACCAGCTGTACACATAAAATTGAAAACAAAAATGAAATGGAAAAAATAGTTCAAAAACATCTCATGAGTTAGTCATTCTTTACTGTGCATGTCAGATCTTAGTTGCCCATGCTTATGAGTTTTTGACTAAATTGTTTGTCTTTAAAAAGGCATGCCCGCATATACCATACATACATAATTTCTGAATATTTCATTGTTAGGTGGTTTGGCGGTACCTCCTTAATGTGTACCCCGATGGACTGAGCGGTCAGGAGAGAATGGACTACATGAAGAAGAAGACGAGGGAGTACGAGCAACTGAAGAGGGAGTGGACGGCCAGAGCCAGCCACGAGGACCTGGAGTTTATCCGTGGGAATGTCCTCAAGGACGTGCTGAGGACAGACCGGGCTCATCCGTATTACGCAGGCTCAGAAGACAGTCCGCACCTGACTGCCCTCACAGACCTGCTCACCACATTTGCCATCACACATCCTCAGGTGTGGAGACATGCTCTGTTTTATGAGTTTTTGCAGTTTGTGGCTGAACGGGTGCAGCAATCTTCTGAAAATAGATGAAAAAAATACCCCATCCCTCAAAGAAGTTCAAATAAATGCAACACTACTAAAGGGAAGGACACTGTATGGTGCTCTTACCTTTTTGTACGTCACTTTAGGTGCTGAATGTATACTGTACAAAGTGTTTGTGTCAGTTGTGTGAGTCAGCTCTCCTCAATCTGAAATGTTCAATTGTTTCCCTGAATTGCAGTCTTCTGGATGTCTAAGTTTCTGTATACTGAACTCTGCCAGCCATTCACTACACGCAGATTTCAGGCTATAAGAGCTGAAGCTGTGTGCCGACTACTCATCGCTCCTTCTTTGGTCCATTTTCTCAGAGCTTGAATGAATCTGTGGTCAACTGGTAACATTGTAATGTAGAGTTGTGTACGGCTCTGGCTCCAGAGGAATTTAGCAGGGGATGGATGAGCATTGGCTTCTTTTGACAGCGGGCGGACTAAGCAAGCTGTACTTTAATACAAATACATCAGCAAACTTGTATGAAACCTTTCAAATAAAATTACCAGGTTTATAATACAAAATAAAGCAAGACGATGCACACCAAAAAGAAAAATCAGACGGGAAACAAACGTTGCAGAGCCCTGATTCTTTTTTTTATATATACATTTTTCAAAAACACGGCTTGCATGTTTTTCTGCTTCCCAGCCGACGGACATTATTCACACTTTCCTCCACCATCAACACGAGAAAGAAAGTCACTCTCTGTCCCAAACCACCCAGCTTTTCAATCATTATCCTGTACCATTTCTAATTGAGGGGTGGAGTGAGTCAACACTCATGAGGAGTTGTTGTAAATGAGTCAACATTTACACATCTATATAAAAATAGACACAAACACTTAACTAATTTAAAAAAAAAAAATTACCAAATTTACAGTTAGCTTTTAACAATTTCAAAGCTAAAACGATCTAAACCCAAACAGAATCCAATCTCCCCTCCCTCTCAGCCAGTGTGGATTTTATTTAAAACTATTAGAAGTAACAACAGCTGACATAAGATATTGGAAATTAATGTCCTGTTAAAAATACACATATTTTGTGTTGCTTGTTTATTTATAAATGTCGTCATTTAAATAACAGCGTGACACCAACATGTTCTCATTACCTTTGTAATGAGTTGAACTTTGTTTTGCACATCATAAAGTAACTAAAGTAAAATTTTAATGAGGTACTAAGTTCAAATTTAGATTTTTTTTAAAAGCTCTCGTTTTGCTTGAGTAGCCTACATTATTTTTATAGTCTTTCCACCTCTGCTAACATGTATAAACACTGATAAACAATTTGGGTGCTGTGGTGGCGCATTGGTTAAGCACAGCCAACATAAGGAAGCTTTAGTCCTCAATGCTGCTGTCACAGGTTCAATTCTTGACCTGGTGACCTTTGCTGCATTTCCTCCCTCTCTCTCATTAAGTTACTTTCCTGTCATAGCACTTTCAAATAAATGCCACTTGAGCCAAAAAACCCTTTAAATTTGACTCAAAGTGCAGCTGTTCTGAATGACTGCATACTGACTTAGCTTCACCCTGAGCACACCTTGCTGTACGCTTTGAGCGTTAAGTCTGTTCCAAAGAATCATTTGTGGTTTCAGTTGAGTATTGCTAACTCTTTTGTTGATTTTGCCTAATTGACCACACGACGTAAGTAGATAAAATTTCAATTCACAAATACTTTATTGACCCCAAAGGGAAATTAAATAAAACTTAAAATAAATTTTAAACTGTTTAGTGTAGAACTACAGCGATGCATTCTTGGTACAGAGTACAGTAATTTGTTTCACCACGTCAGGATTGAGGAGGAGAGTAAGGGAAATAGAACAGCTGCACAAACAAACTTCACCACTTCAAAATAAGAGCATGCATACTTGAAGAATTCTTAAAAGTCGGTAACCAAAACTTTTACACAGATGTCGAACTTTATTCAAATAAAAGTTTACAAAACTTCAAAGTAGGTTGGCGCTTTAGAATTGATCTGTAAAACTAAATTTCGGGGAAACTAAGTGTGCTAAAAGTTTTTAAAGTTAGCAACAAAAGCGCTAAACAAATAATTTGCCGCACTGTTAGCAGATTAGCGGGAGTGTGCTCATCACTGTTTAAAGCACATATTGTAAGCATATTTGACTAAAGAAGTGTTTAACTTTCTGCTGATGCTGTTTTTCAGATCTCCTACTGCCAAGGCATGAGCGACATAGCCTCACCTATACTTGCAGTAATGGACAACGAAGCACACACCTTCATTTGTTTTTGTGGCATTATGAAACGTTTGGAGGGGAACTTTCGACCAGACGGGCAGCTCATGTCCATTAAGTTCCAGCACCTGAAGCTGCTTCTGCAGTACTCTGATCCTGAGTTCTACGTCTATCTGGTGTCCCGGGGAGCCGACGACCTCTTTTTTTGTTATCGGTGGCTCCTCCTGGAGCTCAAGCGAGAGTTTGCATTTGATGACGCTTTGAGGATGCTGGAGGTAACTTGGAGCTCCCTGCCCCCAGATCCTCCAGAAACCGAGGTGGAACTAGTGGGGCCACTGCTAGAGGGAGACGAAATGACATCGTGCAAAGACGAGGCTGTTAACTGCCTTAAAGATGAGGAGGTACAAAAGGAGAAGCAGCGTAGACGACATATGCTGAGACCATCCAGAGAGGAAACGGATATGAGGAGGAATCCCATCACTGAAGGGAAGGCCGATCAAACTGTAGGCTCTGGTGTAGAAATGGAGGGCGTTGAAGATGGTCATTCTGAAGAAATGTCAAAGAAGTCAAATTTGCAGGGTCATTTCTTTCAGAGACAACTCAGTTTTGGGGAGTTTAAATACTACACAGCTCGAAGCCAAGGCAGCTTTGATATGGAGGATCAGGAGCAGCCGCAGGGTTCGGCGACTTCGGAAGCAAACAACCCAAGGCGGCAGTCGACAGTTGACAGCGAGGACGACCCTGGAGAAAGAACACCTCTCATTAGAAACTCTGATTACAGTTTGTCTCCAATAACTTCACACACTCACTTCACTGGAGGACTTCCAGTCTGGAAAACTGGCTCATCCGTCTCTCCCACACCTTCACCTACAAACTCCAGCTGGCCAGGAGTTTCTCTGGACTTTCCTCTGGTGGCTACAGCTTCATCTGCAGCCAATTTAAGTGAGACCTCACCAAGAACTGGCTCTAAAGTACCAACCTCTTCAGCACAAGGTATTAGCTCTCCAACTGGTACTTCGAAAACATCAGCCGCCTCTCCTCCCGCTCAGAATAGATCCGTTCTCTCCTCGCCCATTTTGTCATTTGGTGGAGGCTCCTCGGCGAACAACCTCCCCTCGCCTGGCAACAAATCCCCCAGCACCAAAGCGAACACACCAAGCTCTTTAAAAGCTGAAAGCACCAGCATCAAGCCCTGCTCTTTGCCGCCTCCTCACGAGTTCGGCAAAGGGAACCCCTTCATGCTGTTTTTGTGCCTGTCCATCTTGTTGGAGCACCGGGACCATATCATGAAGAACAACATGGACTACAACGAGATCGCCATGCACTTTGATCGCCTGGTGCGACGCCACAACCTCAGCAGGGTGCTGCAGAGAGCCAAGGCCTTGTTTGCAGACTATTTACAGAGCGAAGTCTGGGACTCGGAAGAAGGGGACGAGGTCAGCTCAGATTCCCCGACAACAGCTGCCCCACAATCCCCCTCTTCAACCATCTCCGCGAGGCCCATCTACAGCCCGCTAGCCTCACCTCCATCATCACCCAACTCGACTTACAACCTGGCCACCACCATTCCCTCCCCTTCAGCTCAAGTCTCCCTTTCCTCTGTGTCCTGAGTCCCTCACTGGATTTTCAGTGGATTTCTCAGTTGACTCTTGGTAACCAGTTGGCGATCTTTTTTCAAACAGCTCCTTCCCTCCTGCTGAATTGGTCTGTTACCAATCTCCCCATGCTATGTATGCCTGATTACATGTATTCCCTGTATCCGTCTGCATCATAATGCTTCATCTTTCTTGCTAATCTGTCTGAAATATGGGCTCAGACGGCTTCGGTGGCGGCTGTTTCCTCACAGGCTGATGAAGCATGAAATTCTCATTCAGCCTCTTTGTAGCTTTGCTTTCAAGTTCGGTTGCAGTCGTCTCAGGAGTGTCTCACCTGGAACCCTGATCAAAGTCACCAGAGAATATCCTCAATCTGGCTTCATTAAACACAAAACGTTTGTCTGTTCCTCTTTAAAACAAACTTTCATGTCTTATATCTTCTCCTGTTTTGATACGTATCCAAGCTGCTGTATTGTTGGTTTTGATAGCACTCTGCATTGGGTCAAACTCATAGGCTGTATGCAAAAAATGGACGTAGCCACTGTGATGTCAACTATTGCTTTGTGTTATTTTAATTCTATTTCTACATTATGGGGGTGGTAGGATATCAGGAACACATGTAATTTGATATGCAATATATTAATGTCTTATTAAAACTGACTCAATTTTCTTATTTCTTGGTAATTTTCTCATTGCTCTTTGTGAGCTTTAGGATCCATCAAGTGTTGACATCAGTAGCAGTAAAAATCCACCCAGCAGGTCAGTATTCAGCTAAACACAAAATTATTCATACCTTTGGTATATCTTTTCCTGTGTTTTCTTAACTTTTAGAGATGTCTGTCTCGTTTCCTATCAAAACCTCTCTTGGCTTCATTCAGCCAAATGAATTTCATTTCATTCATTTGGCTGAATGAAATCAAATGAAATCTAAATCTCAGGGGTATTAGTAATTTGAGGCTTAACCGTGCTAATGGATTGCTGAATTTGCATGCATGGCACTTTAAATATTTCCTATCAAATATTGCATCCAAGCAGTGTTTTGTGATTGCAATATGGAATACATTGATACTGCAACAGTTCAATATATTTTTGCTGCTCTCATAGACATCGGAAACTGATTGTTCTTTTATTTTGGTTAGTTTATCGTGTGCTTTAAAACTGAGCTCTTTTAATAGTTTACTGCAATAAGTAGTGGGAAAACATTTCGTGACTATATATTGTTAAATACTTTTTCTCAATGAGACTTTGCGGTCATCAGTGGGGCTGTGGTTTGGACTTTCGTCAAATTGGATCCATGCTCCGAGGACAACCAGCCTTACACCTGGTCGTCCTAGAGTTGGTCAGTTTACTCCTTTAGGTAGAGGCATACAGGAGTAAACGACATAAACCAATTTAATGTTGTTTACCAGTCATTTTATAACCCAGGGTCCATATTCTCACAGATTCCTCTCAGAGAGCTTCTACTTTAAGCTAGAAATTCCTGCCAAGGACTGCTGGCTTAAAAGAGTGGCAGTAAAATTAACCTTTTAAAGCTTTTCATCATGCTATAATGTTACTCCCTCATCAAAAACCTATCTATAGTGTTGCTTTGATTGTTGTTTGAGAAATCCTTACATTCCCATGGCAACCATTCATGGCGCTTTGCTCGTACAAAGCGCCACCTTTTCCCACAAAGCTCCTTGGAGCTGCAGTCTCCAGCCGAGCTTCTGCCTCACAACGCTGCCCTTCCTCGTGTCTGACCCGCTCAGCTCCTACAGACAGGCTGCAGCAGTAAAACACTTGGTGGAACTGCACAGCGTCTGCTGAGGTCATTACATGGACCGCCTCTCAGTTCAGCGCTCCTAAGAACGGTTGTAAGCGCCATAATGAATAGCACCGTTTGTGATGATGTGCTGAAGGCGGAGTTTAGGAAAGAGCAGGAGCTTCTTAAAGAGACAGAAGCCCAATATTAAGGCGTCAAATTTCTTTCAAGTCATGTTGCCTTCATAACAGCTGAAGGTAACGTAGGTATTTGACTGCTATAAAATGCCACTATGTGCCTGGAAATGCATAATACCGTAAGGGTGATTCATTCAGCTGCTGAGGTTGGGGTTGACATTCTTCTCTTAGTGATGAGGTGTGGTTGACCCTGTTGCTATGGGTGACGCTGACACTTGGACAATAGACTTCGATTGATTATTTGGCTTTTACTAGTATTTAATGGAGCGTTGTAAATAATTTCATGGAGTATTACTGCCACCAACTAGTAACAAGTCTGGACCAAATGCCCCCTAACTTTTATTGTACAGAAGGAATGTTCTAAGAAAAATCTTTGAATTCAAGAAATGCTAAGAAATTTTCCTGCAGTGACATCTCCAGAAGCCTCTTTTAATCAGGATTTGTCGAGAATATGGATCCCGGCTTTGTTGCACTCCTTCTTTGGGTTGTATTGATACTTGGCTTGTCTTTGGTGCCAACTTTTTAATGCTCATCAGTGTCTTTATAACTTGCGAGAGCCCTGAAAGATTCTTCCAGGCTGTTCCCAACGGATGTCAGAGCCACACCAACATGGAAACCCTGACTTGGATGAGACTGCGTCCATCTTTAGCATACAGTGTATGGTTCAGAGTAGTCATGTTGTACCTTACAGTGTTTCTAGATTTCTATTTAAACCTATGCTTATGCTGTATACTGATGAGACAAAAGCATTGGTGTGTTATTTTTGAAGCCTTTCATCTTGCTCTGCACAGCCTGATATTTTTGCTTTGTCGCCCTTAGAGGTCAGTTGTTCTTAAAAGGACCTGGTGCTTCTGACTTAGAATCAACATGAAGATATGAGAGAACCTGTAAAAAATCAAATCAAAAGTTTTAGCATATGTGAACCTGGGAGATTTTGGGTTATTTCAATGACGGCGTTAACCTCATGCTGTATGACATAGAACTTGCAGGATCTTATGCTAAGAGCTGGGTAGACCGTACAAGACATTGTTTGTATTGATACGCATTAATGAATATACAATTCATGATAAATTTCCACTAATGATGCAAAGCCTTTTATTGTAAGGGGATCCCAGATTGAATGATGTGCTGTGTTTTTTAGCCAACAGTAAAATAACTACAACAGCAGAACAGTCTGGAGCACAAGTGCTTCTAAATCACTAACTTTGACTTATTCTTTCTGTGCTCTTTATAGTTTACAACACTTTGGGTGAAACTAAACAAAGTCAAATATAGTTAAGGACACGGTGATTTTTGGAATCTGTTTAAAGTTTTATTGATAATTTGACTATATTGATGGAATAACTTCAGATTTTCAATAGAACCACTTGGTGCTCTATTGAAAAGTTGCTTACTCGGCAACTTTTAAATGTCCGTATCTAACCTTTAGGTGAGTTGTTTTAAGGAAAAACTTGAACAAATTTCTGGAACCTTGGTATTGTCTTGCTTGACTGTGATCCAACTTTGCTCCAGCCTTTTCAGGATTTTGGTTCCTACTTTTTGCATGATTTAGTTAATGAGAGCATGTTCTGATTTCAGTCTATGTTTACTAAGTGTTTTATGTTGCCTGAATTATTTCTTTAAAGGTATCTCTAAGATATATCTCTGAATAAAGATTCTAACTTTTGAGCTAAAGAGGACTTTCTACAACCCAACCTGCCTTGGCTGTAAACGAATCTCCCAAAAGAGATCTTGAATTTCTTCCAAATATAACAAATGAGCTTGTTTTGTTTTGGTTTTTGAAACACGATGTTCCAAAAAGAATTATTCTAAAAGATAATCGCCTCATTTATCCCTGATCCACTAAATTAAATAAAATCAGAGGTGAATCAACTAAAGCAAACAATGCTGACTAAGGACAAAGGCAGAGAAAATGCCCCCTAATCTAATAATAATAGATCAACTTTTGCAAAATTATTTCAATATTATCAGGATTAAACCAGGAACTGCATCATGTTGTGATTCCAATGTTTGATCTGAACTATTTGTTTTTCTCTCATGATTGTAATGAGCACAGATGGTGCATGTCTTCTTGTTCTTTTAGGTGATCTTTTGTTAGTTTTTCCTTTTTTTAATGATGTATACATGGTGACATGCCTTAAATGAGTTTGACAGATCTCATTGCAACAAGGATTGGCAGTCTAAGCGGTGCAGGTTCACCTGCTGGAGCTTTTTCTTCAATTTAACTCCTGAACCATTCAGTCACCATTAAAATGTATCACCAAGCAAGACATTAAAATGTTCCATCTCACACAACCCCCCCCCCCCCCCCCAAAAAAAAAACAACAAAACATTAAATATTTGTTGTGGCACGTCTATTTTTTTGTTTTAAAATGTTTTTCTTAAGACTGGTGACAGTGATGATGAAATAGAACAGCAGGAATTGTTGATGTATGATTTCTCTACCAAACAGAGACTCAAGAATGCAGCTAACAATTCAACATTAACAGCTTTACTGTCTTACGAAACACTCAAAGTTTGTCTGCAGCTTCTCTTTGTGGGGCAGAATGATTTACGGAGCTCAAGAGCAAAATCTTATTTCTTCAGATTTCCCCATTTGATTGTTTCTTTTCATAATGTGGAGAGCAGCCTCTGTCTGCAGAGACGTGCAGTGAGCAGATGGACTTCGTTGAGCTGGTGATGAGATGCAGTTGGTTCAAACTCAACTGATGTCACTTCACACAGGTTCATCTTTTAAACACATATTAATGTTGTTTATTGTATATTGAACACAAATAAACAATCATGCATCTTACTGGTCAGTTTTTGTTGTGTAGTCATTTTCTGAATATCTAAAATTCACATAAACTTTTGACAAAATCCAAATTTAGTTAAAAGTTATACATTACAATTTTGCCAAGCAAAACATGACAAATAATCTTCAAAATACTAAAAAGTATCATTATAAAAGAGGTTAAGCGACAATGGACTGATTCTTCAAAACAAGAGAATCTGTGTTATAGATTCTGTGTTGACTTAAAGCCAGAAACAACACATTGTTAAAAAGTGAAAATACAAAAAGGTTTTGGAAATGTTCAGTAATCTTCGTAGTAGAAACTACACAAAATAAATGTGTAAGACAAGACTTGAAGAACATTCCACCTTTCTTCATTGAAATAAAGTAACTATTTGTTCTGAAATAGAATAATAGCAGAAAACACTAATAAGCTTGGCACTGAGACTCAAAACTGTTGCACAATAAAATGGAAAATAATAAACTTAAGTTTGTTCCCATTTATATTAATTCATTTGTTAGATCTGTCAGAAATTGATTGTGTTTGTGAATTTCTCTTCCTTTCCCTCAAATATTTGTTAATACATTATGGATAATCCTAAACCTCCTCAAGTCCATTATACAACAACAAAGTGTCTTTAGTCAGAGTCTTCTTTTGAATTGCTGTAATACAGACCGCTACAGGAGATCTTCCTGCCGACAACCCCCAGCATCTATCTAGTTGAAGAACATGGCATAACATGAGTTACAACGATATGTATTTTACCTCTGTGAAAAATAAAGTATTTTGAAAATTAAATTTTAAAAAAGTGCTTTAATCAGAAACCCAACGGTTTTTATCCTTTTATTAATTATTGAGTTGTCATTTGGAATTTAGTATTTCTTTATTTCATATTTGGTCAGTTTGCATTACCATCGACCACCACCTGATGGCGGTAACGTTCCGGCTCGTAGTAAGGCAAGTAAAAAGAGGTAACATTTCCGCTTCCGGTGGCGCAGTATCCTTCTCGGGCAGGAGAAATGTTGTCCCGATTGTCACGGCTGGGGCTTGCATTGCCCCGGTCTGTTTCTGTCCTTTCGACCCGCTTCGTATCGCAGTCCAAAGCGGACAGCGCCATCTCCTCGACCGCTGTGACGGAGATGTACGAGCCCGTGAATCAGTCTGGACACGGCGAGGTCAGCCCGTTCTCCAAGGTGAGTTCAGCTACTGGACCTCCAGCGAACGAGCCTGCGCTGACGGGACTGTGTCCTGGCGGGGGTGTTCTGTTTTCTTTCAACTCAGTCCAGTTCAATGCCAGGTTTATTATTTGTTCAGGTGGGTTTGCGCTGTGCTGAATGTTTAAATATGAAACATTAAACCTTTATTGAGAGAACCCTTTTTATACAAACACTAGCTAAACCAGTGAGCTGATCTTGGACAAAAGTACAGAAGTTACAGCAAGACATAAAACGAAGTATAAAATTGTAAATCCACATTTTATCCAGACAATATGAGGTTTTATATTAGTAGTCTCTATATAGGAAGAAAACAAGTATAGAATAAAATGTAATAAAACCTGAAGACATTTAAGTTCAAACTTACAGTTACGATGGATAAAATGACTTTAATTTAAAACAAATCCCCTTAATTGATGAAATATTTATTTTAAACAGATACATCTTATCCCTCAGGTATGAATGTGTATTTATAGATTTGACTCCAAATAGAATTTTAAATGAAGCGAGGCACAACTCGGACAACTAAACGTAAAGTCAAGATTATTTTGTCACATATTGCACAATTTATTTTTTGAGCTCTTCAGTATTTCTTAAATCTAAATAATATAAGCCGAAATATTTGGAACATTGAATAAAAACAGGTATGTTAAACCGACGTCAACTAAGCACAGCAAGTTTAGATGTACTAACAGATGATAATCACTAGTTCTTTTCTGTCACATTCATAATGGCAGCATGTAGCATCTCTGGTACCTTAGTTCTGATCTGTTGTAGTGTTTTTGCTGCTGTTCTTGTTTTACATATATATTTTTAGTGTATCTTTGGACAATTATTCCCTCTGGTTCTAAATGCTGTGCAGCTGAAAGGAGTTTTGCTCTTTATTACTTTCAGACAGTTGTCCAGATGAGTCTGTTACACAGCAGCAATCTTCAGTCAGAGGCCTCTTCAGATTTGTCGCAACACTGACTGCTACTGGAGATCCATCCTGCCCATAGCATCACCATCCACAATGATTCTTTAAAGATAATTGAATGATATGAGTTACAATAACATTTCATTTCCCTTTGGGATTTTTTTTTTTATTTACTTCAATGGAATTATACTGAAACAAGCGGAACTTGGGGTAACGTTCACCTCCCTGGGTTTTCCCATGACCTCTGATACTCAGGCAGGCATTCACCTCCTACAGGACCAATGTGTGAGTCAGTCAGGGTGCTCCAGCTTGATTGTTGTGTTGTGGTTCATTCATTTTTATCTCTGTGCCCCAACAAGTTCCATTTACCAGCTTCAGGACCCGACCAGAACCCCTCAGTGTAATTACCTTGAGAAATAATGAGATTTGGTTAAGTATAAAACAGCCTTTAATGCTGAAAAATTATCAAATGTTAAAAGCCATATTATAAATGGAACAGACACAGAGTTACATTCACTGTCCAGCGCTGGAGCCACGCTGAGCTCACCTGATGGATGCAACCAAGTGAGGCACAGACTGTAGCTCGAGTTTAGTTTTCATTCTTCTCTGCAGTCTGTGCCCTCCCTAAAGGGCTGCGTAATCAGTCTCAGTCTGTTTATGTGTGACTAGCCAGTCTTATGTGATATGGTTATGTGAGCAGCAGCACTGTGTGTGTAAGCAGATAAGAGACAGAGGAAAACAATAGCCTAATGTTATTGTAACTTGTATTATTCAAGTCATTTTGAAGTCATTTTATCCATCATAACAGAACCCATAACAGTTGTTTCAGGTCAGCTTTCGACAGCCTTCTCTTTTTTTTTTAAAGAGTTTCTAATGTATTATTTATTATTTTGATCAGAATCCAGACTTCCATGGCTTCTCCACCGATCCGGAGGAGGATGTGAGGAACATGAAGATGGGCTTCTTCTTGGGCATCTCTGTGGCTCTAGTTATCGGAGGAACCTTTATCCACTATTTACCAGACCATGGGTATGTTTTTTTTTTTTTTTTTTGGTCCTGCTCAGATGTGAGGTGACATGCATTACAATAAACGTTCTTACAGTAGAATGGTGTGCATCAAAAAGGTGGAAATGGTTTCATAGCCCTTCACAAATTGATGAGCAACAGCTCCTGGCTGCTACCTCTTTGGTATTTTAACTGGAAGCAGGAAAGAGTTTTCCTCACTACCTCTGCAGTTTGGTTCGACTGTTAAATAAGGATCCAGTACAATTGAACAAGGCAAGCACTGACTTTAGTGAAGGCTAACCTGTGTTTGTGATTGTGTGGCGTCCAGCATGCGGAAGTGGGCCAGAAGGGAAGCAGAACGACTCATTCTGCTCAGGGAGAAAGACGGTCTGCCGCTCATCGAGGAGAACTACTACGACGTCAGCAAAATCATCCTGCCCTCCTCCAACGAGGACTGACCCCTCCTGCACTGTCCCACTCTATTTCATGGTTGTTGTAAATCACTGATTAAATAAACTATGTTCTTATTGGATGATGTTTGGGTTTTTTGCCTCCACATCTTGATTTTCAATGGTAAAATATAGCTTTTTTTTGGTGTTTTATAGTTTTGAACCTCGTATTCCTGTGGAAGTGTTAGATGGATGTAATGGGAAGGTGTCCGTTTTTCAGTCCTGCTTTGTTCTCCAAAATTACCAGATCTCAGAGTCTCACATCAGAAACCAACATGAAGGAGGAATGTAGAAGAGTTGTGACAAATAACCTTTTAAAATTCTGTTATCTTATTTTCTATAAACAATAGAAGCACCTTAACAGTGTCAAAGACATCAAAACATTAAAAAAACAGCTTTTTTTCTTGTGCCTTAACCCCAAAACTGCAGGTTTTCTAGAGATTCAGAACACATCCCAGGTTGACTCGTAGTGATCCCTTTTTATCAATAATGGATTGCATTTTTATTTTGCACTATCTTATTGAATTATGAATGTTTCATCTTAGACTTCGGGCTGTAAATGTGTTTCTTCCTGTTGTAAATTTTAACACTGGGGTCCATGAGAGCTCAGAGTTTTAATGTGGTTGGTTGTCCGTTCAGCGGTCGGCTTCAGCATGATGCTGCCGCTCTGATCCTTGGTGGCCATGCTGAACTGGGAATGCACAGTTTCACTCCTCAGTGTGTTTAAAATATTGCAAAACTGTGAAGTGGATGGAAAAATGTCCTTTTCAGAATGTTTGCCTAAAAATCTGAAAAGTGTGAATATTTATATTCAGTCTTCCTGATTCAATCGCAGCTCTTACTTCAACTACGACACGTCAAGACTGACGTTTTTGTGGAAGAGCTTCAGTCAGGATGGATCTGTGAAAAA